AATCGCATTCGAATTATGCTGTTCCAATCGACTAACTTATGATCGAGAAACCGCGCCTGCCACGACGCCGCGCGCGACGACGTGACGGATTACGATTGTCTTGTCCCTTTCCCAAGTTGGACTTCATCTTGTATTCCGAGTCGCAAGTTCAGAAACCTCTCATTGAGGTCAAAATAAATGGGACGGGAAAAAGGATTTGGTTCGACTTGACGGAAGAGGAGGAGAAGGGGAGCACTCTGCACTTTCGCTACTTCCCACTGTTGTCCAGCCGTCAAGTACAGACTTATGAAATCTTGTGAAGCCATGACGTAAAATCAGTCAGTCCATAGAGGCTACTTTTCAACTGTTGTAAAAATCAATACGACAATGGGAAGTAGCGAATCTGCAAAATGCCCTCCCCCGAGCTGAACGCAGCGAGAATTTTCCATGTTTTGCCACTTTTAAAAGCATTTCCAAATCAAGGACGAGGAAAAAAAGCTGAAAGAGTGTGAGTCCCATTCCTCAAAAGGAAGGTTAAGTCTGCAAACAATGGACACTTCGTCACCGCTCTCTAAGGGCACATCTCTGGGTCTTGCTCACCAACCTTAATCAATGAGACAAATGCCAGCCGGCTGCTGAGTAACCCTCAGCGTAAAACTATTAACCCATTTCTTCATTGCCGATTTCATTATCCAGCTGAGCCTGACTCATACTGATACCGTATACAAGAAGAGCGTGTAACTAACCGAAAAGGTGAATTAGCCATTGCAGCGAGCACGGGCGAATTGGGTGCAAATATCGGCGTCGTCGAGGCGAGTGCGTAAAGTTGAAGTCGATGTTGTAACAGTAATGGTGACATCTGCTGCATCAATTGCATATGATACGGTGAGATCGCGCCATGCGGAAGACTCGGTGACAGAAGTTGAGTGGTTGCCGACAGGTTCAGCGGATCGGGACGTTGACGACGTGGGACCTGAAGAACAGTGCTTATTCCTTCTTTAATGAAATTTGCCAATTTTTCGAAATTCATATCACCACAGGTGTGCCGAAACATTCATTCTGGATTGTTTTCTACACAGTTCTTTTCGCTACAGTTGCTGGAGCGCGTCAGGTGGGCCAGGTTTGGCGCGGCCTCAAGCCGTTCTCCACCAACTGTAGTCGCTTGCTAGCTCCCACAAACGGTGGAAAACATGCTAGAGCTGCGCCGAACCCAGCCCCCTGACGCGCCCCAGCATCCGCAGCAAACGAGGCGCAATTCTAATCTTTCATAAGTATATTACCTTAATAAAAGTGTACTACCGTAATCAAACAACTAACCACGGCTATTGGTGATGCACGTCGTTTTCTGGACGAATCAGAATGTACTGAAGCAGGTCGTGATGATGGTCCCGGAGGTGTCACGCTAAGCGTCGGCAATGACGATACACCAGATGATGAACCAGCGCTATGCGCTGAGCATGAGCTAAACGAAAGTAAATGATGATACGTTAGCAGTAGTATATAGTAGTATACTCAGGAAAAATACTAGGAATCCTAGGAATTATATGCGATCTATTAGAGAACCCAACATGAAGGCAAGGCAATCTCGGAGCTATAAAATTTCGCAGTTTTTGAAATCGAAAATCATAATTTCTTTCGAAAACTCAAAACACTGCAAGACACGAATTGTCGCTGTGTTTCGACCAAACTAGACCACAACCAGATGAGGTATTCCAGGTTTGCAGGAATCCCAAACCAAATTGCATTCAGTAAGCTACTGCGATGTGACGCAGGGGCCAGGCGGTTTCAGGCTGAGTGGATATGATAGTCCATTTGATAGTTCAAACTACCCCTGAGCCCAGTTTGCGACAAATCGAAGTTCCAAAATGAAACTTCGAAAACCGGGGCAGTAGTGTCAATAGTGCCCTTTGAGGCGCAGTTCAATGAGGGGGGACACATGGCACATTCACTGCCTCATTAGTTCCGGTTTGCAAGTCTTACTCTGGTGAAGCCTGTGAACCCTTGTGAAGCTGGAGCAAGATCGCCGAGCCTTCATGGTAAAACCTATTAAGTATCATAAGCTCACGAAATGGCTTTTCGACGCCTCTATGGGAAGTAGCAAAAGTGCTGAATGCCCCGTGGCCCAGTTGCCCCTCCTTCTCGATTTTATTAACTATAATTGTCTCCATAGTTTAGATTAATAACATCTTTACCATGAAATAATGATTATAGACGGACCACTATTTTCCATTGGGGGGGGGGGAGCGGTTACAAGCAGTGGTTCCTGCTTCTCATGTCCTCCTAGAACTCTGGAACTCATGCACAACATTAGGGCTTGTTTGTTACAACCGCAGTTCTGGAACCATGCCAACATTCTGCCCCTCCTTTTCCCACTTTTTCAACCCCTCAGCTGCAACATCACATCTGTCCAGTCAATTTTGTAATCTCACACACCTCCACACACTATAAGGTTGTAGTAAATCGACTGCCGATACGTTTTTTTTGCCATTGCATTACGTAACCGTTCACATCTCTCCGCCGAACTGGGCAATAAACGCTCGGCTCCATAGCGCTCACTAGCTCTCCATTTCATCAGCAATTTTATCACACTTCAAACACCCCACGCCTCTCTGACTCATACTGCACAGTGACATATAATTCATTCCATTAAGGTCCTGATAACAACAAAACCACGCAAAAAGTGCAAACAAATTTTCAGCAGTAGCTCTAAAACCTCAAAAACCACTGATAAGCGCTGAACTACTGTGCACACTGAGGGGTTGCTTGAATACCGTAACCGGAACTGTGTCAAGGAGGTGGGTAAGACAACCACAATTCGCCGCGCCGCCGCGCGCGGCGCATTATGCGGCGGTCCGCGGTCAACTTTCGACCTGCGTCAGTTTATCAATTGGAGAAACCAAACGCATTTGGAATTTAAGCACAAGTAGGAATTAACCCTTTAATTGCTATCCTGAATCTTTCTCCGTCCTTCAACGTTCTAAAATCGACCGCTGGCCAGGATAACAACTCGTCATACGCACGCCGCCGTGCTTCACCATGCCGAGCGCGGCATGAAATATGATTATCCTTCATTACCCAAAAAATTAAATTTCCCAGAGCCCTTGTCCATCCGCGAACCAGACGCAGTTCAATAATCCCGTACAAAAGTCTGCCAGCAATTTTTGGTGTTGTGAATCAAAAGTGCCGATTTAATCTTGGGCCAAGAGGAAGCTGTCACGCGCGATCACAAAGGGTTCTTCCAATTACTGTCAAGAGGCTGTCACTATTAATCGACGGGCTGACAACTTATATTAATCCTATAGAACCAGACACTGGCTTGACAAACAGACTAACCAGAATAGATTTATGCCAGATCCAAAGAGCTCGCTGGGCAATGTATTCCGTTCTTAGATAATTCAAGAAATGATATGGATTGTTGTCCTAAACTGTACAAGAACTCTACCTGTTAGTCGGCGAAGGTGTCGAAGCACTTGCAGTCGTGCTGGTGCCACTCAAATTCAGTGACGTCAACTCGGGTTGGGCTGGCATAGCTGGTCAGAAATACGGCATCGACTGACGTATCTGAAAAAAAATGGCCATTTCTCACTGAATCAATTTAAATCCCGACAGACAGCGTTTAACTGAGTGCGATTTGAAGTGAAACGAGATGTACCCAGGTCCAAGCATGACATCCACGGAAACTCGCTCCTAAATAGATATGGCCCCACCGATATCGGCCGTGGGGAGTGGGACATCCGTGATCGACGCTGAGAAATAGTAAAAGTAAACTCGCCTACCAACTAGAAAAAAACCAAAATGACAGACCACAAATAATAAAAACTTCGTCAGACCAAATAAGACCCTACCCTTTGATCTGTAGAAACCACGCGTCGGGGCCCCCTTTGAAAACCCCTTTCCCCGAACTGCTGTTTTCCAAAAACGCATCAGTGCGGACTCACCTGAGAAAATCGATCTGAAAGCAGGACCTCGTTCTGATCGATAATGGGCAGCAGAAAGTCCCAACGTTCCACGTCTTTTTTCTGCGCCTATTTCCTCAGAACAATGTGCAAATGACGAAGTCACTGTAATTGACTGTCAGCCCATCCGATCAAGGTGGCTCCGCCTTCGGAATCCACAAGCATTCCCAACCCTCAACTGCTCTTCATGCGACGACTATCATCTCAGACAATCTTTCGCGGTTCCATGCCGATATCTAACGATTACGGCTGACCGGCTCACCAACCTGGTGGCGTAACGGATAGCGCACTCGCCCGGAAAGCGTGAGGTGCGGGTTCGACTCCCGCCTGGGGCACGACTTTTGCCCACAACTCAGCATTCTTGTGATAACTTTCGCGAAGCGATTTTTTTCCAATCCAGCGCAAAGCGCCCACTACACTACTGCTTTGCTGTACAAAAGAGACCCATTATAAGCCCCAGATAACCACCCTCTTTCTGCCACACTCACATTACGCTCATTATACACTATAATATGTTTTTTAGCAACGCTCCAATGAGGAGGTCACTATGATTGACTGCCTCCGCCCACTTACTAAGCGTGGTCTCCCCTTCGAGGTCCGTTAGGATTTCTAACGTTCAACTACTCTTTCAGAAAGTGCTGCTACTGCTACTATCAGAAAGCACTTGAACTCATTCGCGAAATGAAAATCGTTTTCAAGAGTATGTGCTGCTCGACGGTCACGGCTAATTACAGCAGGATACAAAAAACCCAGGCCGCCACATATTTACACCATGGAATTATAATTGATTGCCGTTTCATGAAGGTCTGTATAACAGTCGCTGAATTCTCATAAAAAGCCCATTTCATCATTCTCTTGTTACTTGTTATTGTCGTCACCAGGAGAACGCGTTTTGGACCCCTACGATTTATCGGGATTTTCCCTTTTTTTAGACATCATTGAAGGTTAAGAAAACGACGCACCATGATCCGGCTTACATGGTTCTTCCTTAACAATGCTCGGAGTCGTTGTCGTCGAGGCCGTCGTGAGCGCTGGTTGTGACGGGGGTGGAGCAGGCACAGGAGCAGGAACTGGAGCCGGATGAGCGTCAGGTTTCGACGTTACGCTCGTATTGCTCATCGCTCGACATAAACTCATGTTGTATGCGACTGGTTCGGTAATATTCGCTTCGACGAAACGATACACAAACTTCTGGCCAATCACCTGCAACGAAAGTGAAAATGTACGAAAAAGTAAGATTGATCACTAGCTGATATTTCAAAGTGTTGGTGAATTCCATTCACTTTTCAGTGGTAAATCACGTCAAAATCTAGCCGCTAAGAGAATGGAGGGGGCGGTCAAGAGAGTAAACATATAAGCTATAATAAAAAGAAAGGATCTGCCTAATTATACGATTTTCAGGAGTGTGAGGCACACTCATGAATAGGACGCAGTTCGCTTTGAACGCCGCAAAGGTTTCTTCTTAACATCGATTTTGCGTGGGCTACCAACTTCCCGCGCGCGTTGTCGCGTGCGACTCCGCGTAATGCGTCTTATACCCCCGGAAATAGGGTACTTTTGAACTATCTGCTACGAAAAAGCCTCAACTGGAAACAAGGATCGCCGCATATCAAGGAAAAGCTTCCAAAGCAGGATTCATTTTTTTGCT